GCATAGCCATCGAAAATGTATGTCTTAAAAATAAAGGTGCTGAATTGTAACTCACCAAACTGACGAAAACCAGAGAGAGCTGGATGATGTCAGTGTAAGCCACTGAATAGAGGCCTCCTAACAAAGTGTAGATAATGGCCACAGCCGATGAGATCCAAACAGAGTAAACATAGGGCAGGTCTAGAATCACACTCATAGTTGCTCCTGTTAAAAAACCCACAAACAGGGATACAAATATCAATGCTTTACTTGCGTCCACTTAATGAAAATGTGTGCATTGTATGTATAATGTGTGTTTACCTAAACCAAGCAGAGTGCAGGACACCCACAGCACATCCACCAGCACAGCAGGCAGTACTAGAGCCGCACTCAGTACTCTGCCATACCTTTTCTGGAATGGGTCCATCATGGTGACATACTTCTTGTCCCTCATTGGCTTGGCAAAGAAAAGCCCACCTTTGAAGTGGATGAGATATGAACTATTATTTTTAGGTGCTATTCAAATACATTTTACATAGTTTTGACTATGTCCTTGATTCAGTGTGCACTGTGAACTGTAAGTTGGCAATTTTTGATACATTAAGCACTCCCAAAACAAATTCATGATTGGCAAAGCAAAGTGTTGTTTTTCTGTGTATCTGTTTAATAAATTAATGGTTTAGAACTATTTAAGAAAATGAATGTTTAGAAAACAGGTTAATTAGAGTGGCACTCTGAGAGCCCATACTGCCACCAAAGCTAATGTCTGATCCTGTAATAGTTTTTGCCCAGTACATAGTCGTATGAAAACATAGTGTTTATGTCTGGTATCTAGATCACCACAGCCTGCTGTCTTTATGGTTTATGTCTTACCTAGTATGAAAGACACAGAGTATTGTATCGGCATAAGAGCCCATATCAAGCCCATTTTGGGAGTGTAGACTGCCTCAGCAATCCCCAGGATAAAACCACCTCCGACCCATGTAGCTGCAGAAAAAGCAATATGTTATACATACACACACATAGACACGCACACACAGACATGCACACAAATGCACCCACACACAGTTGGCCAGATATTGCTGAGGTTAGATGTTGACCTTTGATATTCACGCTGCCACCAAATTTCTTGTTTACAGATATCCTTTGATTTGCTAGACCAAACACTGGGCTATCTGTTTATTATATGCATGGTTGCATTAACAGATATTTCCTGTGCTGATTCTTTTTCACTATCAGTAATTGAAAGGTTGGCTTAACCAATTAAAAAAATATTGGTTAAGTCATTGTTTAAAAGCCTGGTAGACTGAAGTTGACCCCAACCATTCTGGCAAGGTGGCTATTCTAATTTACTATTCTTCTTCATCTTTCGGCTGCTCCCTTTTCGCGGTCGCAACAGCGGATCATCTGCCAATATATCCACTACCCCTCCTATTTGTGATCCGCATGTTTGTTTTGGCACAAGTTTTACACCGGATGCCCTAACTGACGCAACCCTCACCATTTATCCGGGCTTGGGACCGGCACTAGAACTACCCAAAAGAGTATCCCTAGTGGCTGGTTTATTCTAATTTACTATTATTGTTCATTTTATTTTTGTATATGGTTTGACTGAAAAGACTAAAAATCTCAAGTGTTGAAATAAATGGATGATTGAAAAGGCCAATGCAGACATTTTAGTCAGAAGGATCTTCTATAGCAATCAATCCTACTGAGTCACATCACACAGCCAGCAGACCAGCACAACATCCTGAATATATCCATCTCTGTCTTAAGACATTGTCTGGCCATGATGAAATGAACAGTATCCACAGGATGACTGAATGCCCTTGTTCTGTGACTCTGCAGCCTTGCTACCCTTCTCCTTACATGAAAGTTCACATACATGCTATCTTCAATACAAATACACATTTCGATTATTTCCATTACATACATTATCTTGCTACTGTATGACCTCTGCCTGTTTCTTAAAAATAAATCCTTGTTAAAGAAAGTTAAAGTCTTATTCCTCCTTGTATACTGTTTTTGTCCCCTCTCTATGCGTGCTGCTTGCTTTGTTTGCTCTGCTGAGTTAATCAATTATAACCCTAACCCAGACAGGATCACAAATCTGTGCTTGCTGACATAACATTATATTTAACAATGAGACAATTATCTTGTTCGTTGTGGAATTTGCTTTTGTTTCTACCATTTTTTTTTCAGGTTTATAAGATGATAACATAACTGGATCTACCTGGGTGTGTCAAGGTTAAACAAACAAGGAATTGTTACCTGATCTCGAAATAAATATGAGACAAAATAAAACCATTTTACCTATTATCAGCGTGGCTAAGATAAGCTACTGAGTCCCACTGATCAACTCACCAGTCATGGTGAAAATCCCAACCAGCAAGCCGATATTTCTGCCCCCAAGGAGCACCACTTCAGTCCTGTCTCCATGGCTATTCCTCTCTGCCACCCTGGCCTTTCGGGCGGCCCACATCCCTGTGCCCAGAATAACGATGTAGAACAACAGCACTGCAACCACACCTGGGATGTTCAGAGCCATGGTGGTGAGCCACTGTGGAGCACACTGACAGGAAGGTCAGCTGGATGCCCAACAAATATTGACGCTGCAAGAGTGTGAAAATAAAGTTCTCCATGGGCCAGGAACCACAAAAACATGCTTTTGTACCACAGCTTGAGTTGGGGGGGGGGGGTTCATGTAATCTACTTGACATCTGTAATATGAGATGAGAAAATTACCAATTACTAATTTATTTATTTACAAACTAATCTGCCAGTGACTGGACACTCCAGCATATGCAGGTGGTTAAGGTAAAATTGTCTCAGTGGCAGGAAATAGCAAAGAAAACCTTTTTCAACTTAAAAGCATGCAAATAAAACATATATAAAACCCACATTAAGTAACAAAAAACATCTATACAAAACCGTGCAAAACAAACATGCCAATAAAACCCATAATGCATGCATAAGTATAAATACAGACATAAAAACCATTACTTCCGCCCTGTGACACTACTGCTTTTAGTTTGAAACAGGTACAAGTTGCATATATTTATGTGTGTGAAATATTCAACAGACAGACGTTGGAACTGGGGTGAAAGATCATTTTTACTGTTTATTTTGCTGTGAACAGCATGCTGCACTGAGGAAATGAGGCTTCTCAAACAAAGTCCAGGTATCCCCAGGGGGTGAAAGGGGTCCCTGATAAATGGGGGAATAATATTTTCAACATATTTTCATCCATATGTAACACAATGTCAGATAACAAATATCTTGTCAAACAGGGGTGCGTTGTCTAGTTTGTGTCAGTTGAGGTGTCCTTCAAGAGCAAAAATTTGAGACCTCACACAGGAGAAGCTTGTGTTCACCGAAATGAAAACTATGCTCTCCGCAATGCATGCTCAAGCATCCAGTGTGGCCCGGCCATCAGCATGAATTGAGGGTCTTTTTTAAGAATGCATCGAAACAGTATATAGACGGGAAATTATTATTAGAAGAATGACTCGTTTTATTTATGAAAACACTATGTAGCCTAAAATGATAGTAAGTCACAGACTACCAGGTCATCTAAAAGTACAAATAAGTGGCATCACAACACATCACAATATGATGAGAGTAAAAAAACCTGACTAAACCAGGTCAAACCTGATGGTGGTTGTAGTGTACTCTCATGGCACCACCAGTTGGTGGAGTTGTAATGTTACACAGGGGAGAATAATCTTAACGTCAAAAGCAAAATAATTTAAGCCGCATCTTTTAGCACAACTAAGGTGACTTTCTTAAAACGCAGTTTTTAGTCAAGGACTCACTGTGCAATCAGCCCTGAAAGTGAACCTGCAGCTCTCATTTATCCTGTATGAGAAAATGACATAAAAATCACATCAAGTGGATGAAAGGAGAGATCATGGTGAAGATGGTGTGCGTCCTTTTAAAAATAAAAATACATAAATATCAAACCTATGAAACTCTCATAGGGCTTAACAAGGTGCGACATCCTCTGTCCTTAACCCAAAAGTAAGGAAAATCTACCAAAAACACTCTATTAACAAACACCTTTTCTGGTACTGTCCAGTATTGGGTCATTTCTGGTGTGACATATTTAACTATGGTGTGACATATTAGACTACATTCAGCCAGACTGAAATCTAGCAATATTTGGTTGTTCAGATAACACAAGGGCCCTTCCTTCTCATCAATAACAGGCAGTGAAGACAGGTCAATGTATATTGTTAAATTGGAAGTCCCCATCACCCCCATGCTCCAGGACATGATTAATGAATTGCTGTCTGTCACTAAGGTGGAACAGATCCGTTTTGGCAAAGGGGCTTCACTACACACTATTTCTCAAAGGTGTGGAAACCATTTTTAGTATTTCTTGATGAGACCTAATTGTATTAAGACCTCTGCTAATGCTATGTTGAGTACCTTGACTCTGTGTCACTGTACATCTCTGCTTTATCCAATTACTGACTGATATTCTGACAGGTTTCCACCCATGTATGTTTTTTCTTTTCTCCCCAATTTGTGTAACTGCTTTTATTTGTTTATTTGTCTGTTTACTTTTGCTGTTTTCCTTTCTCTTTCTGGCAGGCTCGATCCTCATTGTGGGAAGGTCTCTCTCTTGTCTTGGTGAATTAAACGCTGTCGACTGGCACCTCTGTAGTGCTCTTGGGAGCTTAGGACACTACTCCCCTGCTCTGTCCTTTTTTCTGTTATTCTGTGCACCAAGGAATGCTTTGTGCCTGTTGTGTGTGCTTGTGTTATTGTGAAAAAGTGAAAAATAAAGTAAACAAATAAATGACAAAACACAGGGCAAAAAAACAATGTTGCATGTGAGTGAACGCATCAACAAAATAACAGTATTTAAAACATTGATTGGAAGAAATACTTGTAACATAAAGGAGAAGTGTGTCAATGTTTAAAGTGATGTATCATTTATTGAACAAATATACATACAACACAATAACATAAATCATTTAACTGTTAATTTATATTGAGATGATGAGAACATAACTAATTTCAGTGTAATGCTTACAGTACATACCATCTTTGGTAATCACTTATTTTATTTTAGTCTTCGGTATTTGGCAATAAAAACTCCTAATTTTTTCAGAGATGTGGATGTATTGATAAAATGAATATATAGACAGAACACTAAATTAATTTGCAATTGATGTCCATACTAAACACAAGAAAGTGATTCCTGAAAAGGAAAACAATATCATCCATATGTACTCCATATCCATGACTGACTAAAACAAACGTCACCAGGAGGTGGTATATTTCCCTGACAAAGCCAAAAGACACCACATGACCAATTGGGTTTTTTTCGATTTCTGCTCAGGAAACAAAATGATTGCATGCTGACACTGTTCTGAACCAGCAACAACAACCTTTAGGTGACAAAAAAGGGTTACAAAGTACATTTTGAATGATAGACTAATTGTTCAGTGATTGCTGAGTCTTACAAGTATTCACACAATTTTCTGTTTTTTGCAGCCTATATGCCTCGTTTGTCAAAATCTCATTTAGTATTCAGACCCATTTTTACAACATTTGACACTTACCTCAGGTACCTCCCATTCATGTTGATATAGGAGATGTTTGTACACCTGGTATCGAGTCCACATATTGGACATGATGTGGAAATGGACTCATGAGCATAAAAGAGCAAAAAACACGAGGTCGAAGTAGCTGTCTTAAGAGCTCAGATACAGGATTGGCATAGACCTGGAAAGGCTAAAATAATTATGCTACCTTCAAGGTTACCAAGAGCAAAATAGCCTTCACAAGTCTCAACTGAAGAATTTTTGGACCACCACAGCTCTTCCAAGAAACTTCCAGAAGAACTGTCACTGCAGCTCTTTGCTTTATGTCAGTGTCCACATGACACCCTTTCACACTTTAAAGTAATTCTGTGTCAAAATAAAATAATGTGTTTATGCTATCAAACCAGGCAACCATTATTGTAATTGCCAGTCCTGCATCATCCACAGACTCATTTCAGCAGCCTATTGAGGAAGGTGCTGGCGATGATTCCAGCGATGAGGATGACAACCATAACTAGCAGTGCCAGTCCCCGTCGTAAAACCAGTTGTGTTACTGAGAGAACATTTCCCACTGTCGTAGTTGTGCTGACCTGGGCCTGGTTGTGATTCGGGTCTGGAGATTTGAGGAAGAACATTTTGTGTTAACGTTAAACTACAAATACAATAGATGTTTCAGATAAGTTGCTTTCAGCTCTCATTCTCTGGCAGGGCTGTATGTGAGAATGCAAATGTCTGAGTGAGAGCCTCTCGACTTTCTAGAGAGTTTCTCTGGACAAAGAAGCCCATGTGAGAACACAGCAAAAGATCCTCTGTAGGATTCACTGCAAGCGAGTTGGCACATTCGTGATGATTCAAATGAAATAAAGAGAATCCAAATATCTCAAAATGAAAAAGGAGTGCCACATCCTTAGAAGACAAAGAGTTGGTGGTGATAAGAGCTGTTTGCTGCACCACCCCTCATCTGAGTGCTCCAGAGATTACTGTATTGGTGTGAACGTATCTGAGCAGAGAAACCCCTACTGCGTTGTTCATGTGTGAAAGGAATACTCTGGAGAACACAATTGTGCAGAAATTCTTCATTGTTCATGTGTGAAAACAGCTATATTGGGCTGATATTTACCTTTATTTTCAATCGTGACCATGTTTCTTTCGTCTTTGATCTGGACTCCTGCTCTCACACGAGCCTGATTAAAAATTAAAAACAGTTAATAGCATGTTTTAACTTCAGATTAAGCTCACTGCAAATGTAACCCTTAATTGGTCAAGGGATGTAGGTACACACCTCTTCAGCAGCCCTCTTCCAATCAAGTTTGTACAAAAATACCAAGAAGAAAACTGACTGCATTAGCACGCAAATGGTAGTTCCTGTCCATAGTCCTATTAAAGAAATGAAACATGTTGTTAATGGCTTTGCTGAATATTTCTTGAAAAAAAAAAAGGCAAGGTAACAGAAGTTATAATTGCAGGTCATTATTGGTCTTTTCTCACCTACAATCCCCATTTTTGCTGCAAACATAAGGGACACACCAATGGGGAAGCCAATGATGTAGTATCCCACCAGGTTACACAGAGCACCAACCAATGGTTTACCTACTCCTCTAAGAACTCCTCCAGCCACACCCTGTGAACATTTGACAGATCTGGTCAAAAAGTCTTGATCAGATCTGAAATGCATGAATTTGTTGTTGAATCTTTATCTCACCGCAGTGGCATCAAAAATATGCATGAAACAAAATATAATCATGACGTCAGCAACCCTCTGCAAAATGTCTCTGAAAAAACATGAAGACAGAGATTAGATGTATTGAATCTCTAAATACCGAAAAACCTATCTGAAGCCATCTGAAAAGAAGGATCCACAAATATTGATACGTCATACGGCCAAGATCTTTTCCACTTTTAAAGAAAAAGACAAATGCAATATAACATGAAATAAAAACATGATAACCTTCACCACTCTAGATTAGTCATCATTTGAGATTTGAGTTTCTGTTTCTTCAAAGTTTTCTAGATTAATATTTGACCAGAAGTGTGAAAGTGTGCTTACGTAATCATTTGAACAAGGTTTATAATTAGGTTTGTTAATGTTAACTGTACTGGAACTAACTGGGCATATGCTGGACAGATTCTGCAAAAGTGAGTTGAAAGAATTTCTAAGCAAGTGTTGTAAGTGTTGTCTTTGGCATCACATATAAGGACTTCAACGTCTCTCAGTCATGCTTATGACGACATTAGTTAATGTAAGACAGTCTGAACAGCAAAGTGAGACAGGCACAAAAGACAGACAAGACAACTGAACTATTCTGTCGGTGCATGGAAGTGAAAGGTTGTTTCAAAGATGTTACTCACTGCTCTGAGGTGAAAATGTATCCAATGACATTTCTGGCGATGCTGAGACTACCTCCAACAACACATGCAATTAAGACTGTAAGAGAAAGAAACAAAAGAGTAAAATATATTGTTCAAAAAAAGTACACACATTCAAATCAAAAGAAAGAAGAGAACCTAGGCACTTTTACTGTGATGTCTCAGTGTTTAGCTGGATAGCCGAACAGTTGTTAACAGATTAAAACCGAGGTAATTTTGCATGATGTGAAATGCAGTGTGAACACTTCAATGTTGTTTAATGTTGTAGTGGGATTCTTGTGTTGACAGTCAAATATATGAGTATATTTGTGCCCCTGAAACAAAAAGTATTTAATAATTGTACATAAACTGGCCATTTCTTAACTAGTTAAAGACAGTTTTTGAGTACTACTACACTATGATAAATTATTATTTTTCATCATAACAGAATTTTGGTGCATATCATTTTTTTGTTCATTATTATTTTTATTTCGTATTTCTGCATTCATCATCACTCTTGAATTAGAGCTGGGCCAGCTAGGTGTGAGGCATACAGTCTTATTAAGCTTACTTAGCTATCAAATAGCTTCTGGTAGCAACTGTTAGGTGATTACGATTAAGATTCCTTTTTATTGTCCCACAATCATGCACACACAGCGCTACATGCAACATGGGGAAATTTGACCTCTGCATTTAACCCATCCATGTGAACACAATACACACAGTGACCACACGGAGCAGTAGGCAGCCATGAAGGTGCCCAGGGAGCAATTGGGGGGTTCTGTGCCCAAGGGCACCTCGGCAGTGCCCAGGAGGTGAAGTGGCACCTCTCCAACTACCAGTCCACCTTTCACACTTCGGTCCATGCTGGACTTGAACCGACTGCCCTCCGGTTCCCAAGCCAGGTCTCTATGGTCTGAGCTACTACCTCCCTTTTTTTTTTTTTTATTAAGATTAGATTAGATTAGATAGTGTGTTAGCAGTCACAAGAAAAAATAAGAGGTAAATCATGTGAGGGCATTGCTCTGTCCTCCAGAAATACCATAATTAATTAACATCAGGATCACATGTGTATATTGGAAATATTCTGTTTCAAATTATGCAGATAAACTAGTGAATGCATTTGTTTCTTCTAGGCTGGATTGTTGTAATTTGTCTCTAAAGACTCTCCAGATGATCCTGACAGGAATTAGCTAAGATCATATTTATTTTTTTATATTCTATTCATCCTCAGTGTTTTGGTTCCCTGTACAAGTCCTCCTCATTATCAACAAAGCCTTTATGGTGAGGCAGCATCATGTCAGAACACTATGCTTATGGTTCCTAGAGTCCTGGAACCATCTTCTAGCTTCTAGTTTTCTAGTACAATACATCTCTATGTGGAATGTGAATTGTGTCATGATCGCTTCACAAAGAAAGCACCACTAACACCACTTGATAAAAGAGGTTTGGTTTGGTTTGGAATGGTTTGGTTTGGTTCTTACATGCACAGATGATGGGGATTTTGGATGATAACTTGGCCTGTTCTATGTTTCCTGCACCAAGAGCGTTCCCCACTCGAACACTGGCAGCTGCAGAGAATCCCATTGGGAACTGAGGGAAAACAGAGAATTAATACTCCATTGTATTCAAGCTTTTCCTTGGAGCAGAAAATCAGCATCTATAATTACCATGTAAGCTAAAACAGCTAGCTCATATGCTATGGACTGAGCTCCCAGCTCAGTGTCACTAATCAGTCCGGCCAGGAAACCTCCCAACTCAAACATCCACCACTCCAGACACAGCATGAGCATACTGGGAATGGCCAACTGCATGAAGGGTCCCCACTCCTGCAGACAGTCCAGTGACCAACCTGTGAGTCACAGTTCTACAGGTTAAGTAAAATACTTAAGACTTTTCATTTCCTTTTTTATATCATGTTAGAAGCAGCATGGCCATATGTTAATGTGAGATTTATACTTGAGGAATGTATCCATTTAAGTTCAATATTTGAAATTATTAACACTGGTGCATTTCTTGCTCCACACACAAGACAGTCAGTGAGATAGACACATAGACAGACACAGATACACACAGTCAGATAGCAGGTTAAAGTGCTCACTTACTACATAACTATCGCAAATCTACTTCTAGTCAGAAAAAACCTGTATTACTGTTTGACGAGCAAATGATCAGTTATCTATACGAACGTCTTCAGAGAAGCCCTAACGCTGAGCAGCTACATCACCTACAGGGTTTCGTCTTATTTCTTTATTTAAGAGCATATTTTTGAGACCAGTGGCGGCTCCTGCCAAATTTCTTAGGGGGGGCAATTGTTGCGATGATGGCTAAGGTTACCTAATGGGTAAATAAATGTTTCCTGCTGTTCACGTCACGTCTTGTGTTGTACTGAGCACAAAATGTTGACGAGTCATTTTTCATTAATGCAGTCACCTAAACTCTGGAACGAATCAAACAGACACTGAGTTACTTCATGTACTGATCGGGTCCTGATAACTAGTGATGAGTGTTAATTAGTTAAAGTGAGAGCAGGTCAGAGCGGAGGAGGTAACAGAAACTCCAGCTCCGTACAAACACACACACCTCTCCTGGTATTTCACATGATGGCCTGATATGACGATGATTTAAAGAGTGAACGTCACTCACGTGCATCATACGCTAACAGAGGAAATCTGCATATGAGCAGCGGCAATGAGGGGGGCAGGGTTTTTCTAACAACGAGTAAAGATCTGAGAGAAACTCCAGTCATCACTGTGACCTGTTCTCTACACAGCATGACTCAGTCATAGTGTGTTATTACTTTGTCAAACATTATACACAGCACTGTTTATAGTACAACTATTGTTGTCGGAGTCCACAGACTTGAATGATGAAAGAGACTGAAATAAGTAGACAGAGTAGGACTAAGAGTCAACCATATAAAAAGAAAGAACAGGTCGTACCTCCCCACGTGACCTTGTGCAGACCCCTCCAGCAGATGTAAATGTACAAGAACACAGCCAACAAATACTGAGAGATGGAATTGGCCGCTGCAGATCCACTTAGAGAAAAAGAAACAGACGAGTAAAGAGAAGCTGCAAACTGTCAGAAGCATTGGTTTCTCACAGATATGTATTGTTGAATTGGACTGTACTATTCAGTTTGATTATCAGGCTAGTACAAATAGATGGATTAATAATATTACTAAAGATCTATCATTAAGTCATTACAAGCAGAAATGTCTCATTGTCTCTGGAAATTGCAAATTAAAAAAACTTACGCAACACCCAAATCCAGAATATAGAGGAAAATGTAGTTGATGACAGCATTGACGATATTTACAACCACTCCAGTTATAACCTGAGGCCATATGATTCCCTGTAGAGCACAAAACAAGCTTGGCTCAATATTAATTTTAAGGACTGAAAGAAGTGTGTCAAGAAAGTTTGTAAAGGTGACAGAAAGTGTCACCTGATTTTGAAGGTATCTCCCTTGTAGCTGGTACATAAACGCTGCCTGCAAAAGGAAAACATGAAATCACAACAGTTATTTTGGCACAGGCAAAGAGAAACGTTTGGGCATGAGAGTTTGGTTGAGCAATAAGACTAGAGCTGGGTCTCACATCGATTACTTTTGTACAATGTACGTGGAACACTAACTTAGTGTGTGAATTTCAACAAGGTATTATTCTCCCTACTTAAAAAACTCATTGTATAGCCTACATACATTTATTATGATGTATTAATAAGCTAATATTAGCTTAAATAACACTAAAGTAATGCCAAGGCTCATGCAAATGATAGAGTCCTGCAAATATTAAGTCACAAACCAAAGCTTCTGAGAACTTAAAATGTTCTGATGATAATGTGAAATGAAATTTCTCAACTTGTCTTATCTTATTTTATCTAGTCATGATTAAATAATCCAATGGTTGTCAAGATATTTTAAAAACATCTTGAAAGAAACTTGAACTTGAAAGAAAAGGTAGGACATCATCAAAGTTAGTAGGGTTCTTCCTATGAAATCCATTTCTCAGAGTATCTCCAACAAGTTTCATGGAAATCCATCCATCGATTTCTGTGACTTTTTTGTTTTTTTAAAGATATTTTGGTCTGCATCAATTTGGTTGACCCACCCATAGAATGACCTGCCATCCTGCGAGCCATGATGCTAACATGGCTGAAAATTGAAAAACAACTTTGATCCTAGAATGTACCACACTCACCGGTAGAGCAGGCATGAAGATCTTCACATACATCTGTGAAAGGCTTCATGCAGAAAGACAAACACAAAAAACAATGTTAGTGAAACTGCATGTGTGACTGAGATGCATGATTGTACATCAAATGGACATGTATGAGTTAGAAGTCATTAGGATTCAGTTTTTGGGCAAATGTCAACTTTGAGCCAACGGACAAGACAGTTTAGTCTGATTATTAGACTGGCCTTAAATTTGTAATTCATTCCTTGATATCATATACACATACTTGTAAAAGAGCATTTGGAAATACCATAAAATGTCGAGCACACACAGCATAAGCATCTCTCTGAAAAGCATTTTTTTTTAAAGCTGCTATATCTGATGCTTTTATGTCATCAGTGAGGCAAATAAAAGACCTGGAATACAACACCTAATGCAAATGAATGTTCTTCTGTATCTGTTCAATGTATAAATAAGAAAGAATTTACCATATCAACTTACAAGTCGTTAGGTCAGTGTTGTATTTTACAGCTTGTTTCTGCTGCTCTTGAGTGCAAGTAATCCTCAAATTAACAGCCCTCAATAATTGCATTTCTAGATTTCTTAAAGTGTGAATTGTCAGTCTAGATAAGAATCCCAAACCACATGAACGCATGTGTTGTTCAGGGGATTGAATAATGACTGACCTCGCGACCTCTGGGCTCTGTCTGACAGCAAGGAGGAGAGGTTCAGTGTTGATGAGGACGGCCCAGCAAGGGAAACAGGCCAACAGCAGAATCAAAACCCCCCTCTGGAGAATCACACCTACACGCTTCAAGTTACCGCTCCCATACGTCTGCAAACAGGTTGACACTTAAATAAGCAGTGTAGGAAAACACACAATCATACCACTAACAAAGAGTATGAGATAACTCAACACAAAAGCTCCTTGTTAAGCTGTTTTTAAGGAGACAGCAGGAAAACCTGGGAGCCCAGCAGAACTGGCTGTGTTTGACTTGGTTAGATAACAACAACATCTGGTGAGGACACTACCTGAGATATGAGGGTATCACAAGTTAACGACAAACCACATCCAATGGATACACCGGTGACATTAACCACCTGCAAATGACAACAAAACATAATTTAGGAAAAATAAAAAAACAAAAACAGTAAACAGATTTAGACAGAGCGGAACTCAAGAACATGTTTGTCTCCTCACCGCAATTGCTAATGCTACTCCTGCAAGTTCAGTTTTCCCCATGTGACCACAAAACACTGTGCTGACGAAACTGATCATGAAAACCATCAACTGGGAAATGACCTGGAGGACAAAAACAGACACGATGCCTTGTTCATTTTCCAATTAATTCAGATACATTCATAGAAAAAACATGATAGACATTTTCAAGTAAGTAAAGACCAGAGAAATATTACACACATATTTAAGAGAATATGATGATTTTAGATATATAACTCATTTCTAAATAACTAACTCAATAGGTCACCTATGCAGAGCATTCAGTTCAGTGGAGGTGGGTGTCTGTGTATATTCAACAGTTATTATCTATAACAAACTAAATAGCAATGGGACACGGTTGTAGGAAAGCTTACTAGAATGTAAAAAAAGATTTGGTCAAAAAGTAAAAAAGCAGCCTTCCAACAAAGTTATAAATAACTTATACAAAAGCATTATGAATGCATGCATGTATGCACAATACACACATTGCATTTGAGAGGTTGTAACCACCAAATGGATTCATTCGTATTTAAAAAAACACACAAGTGTAAAAGTGGTTTTGTGAGAATCTAAGCAGCATCTTATGCGAATACTCGACTGACTTCTTCAGCCTTAGTACTTTCTCTGCATCCAGATAAAACAGATTTAAATGAAAATGAAACAAATAGGACTGAAATGTTGAAACAATATAATAATGTCAGGAATATACGAGGAGAAAACCTTATACAAGTGGGGAAAAATCTTTGTGTGTATTCTCTAAAAGGCATAATCTGCGTAAAAATTGCACAGTGAATTACAAATGGACAACTTCCTGTTGAGTTTAGAAGTGTTGCTCCAGGTAGAAAATGCTCAAAGAAATAGAAAACATGTTTTTCCTCCATCATCACTGTTGTGTTTCGCTTGTTTTTGATCGCAGATGACATCTAGCATCCAGAGAGGACAAAGATAGCACTGCACATGTGAGCAATCAAATTGTTCTTAAGGTTTTCCCTCATCTGAAAAATTCAATTGGCTACAATCTCTTTGTGTCCCATAGATAAACAAATATAAAAGATGAAAGTCTTATCCCTTGTGTTTGTAAGAAGCATGTTTTTTAAACAGTCACTACAAAGTGTTATTTGTTAAAACTATGCAGGGCATGATGTTGCTTCAGTGAACATTTTGAATTCAATATTATTTGCATGTATTTTTAAAGAAAATATAGAAAGTACAAAGTGAAGATAGTGTTATACCCCACAGTTGTGGTCATTTAACAGTTCGATATGAAATTGGTGCAGATCTATTCTGTGTCTCGCAGCCAGGTTCAGTTCTGCATTCGGGTGGAACATTTTGGGCAAGAAGTTTAAGACCCTTGACATCCTTTAGTATAAATTTGGACTCAAAGATAGATTTCCTATATTTTGGTTGGTGGAGGTCAAATGTCAAGTTCAGGGTTCAAGAGAATCCTTTCAAATTTGGCACAGATGTTCATTAAAACACAGATTAGATTTGGGTGGTCAAAGGTGGAGGCATACAACCACAAGGCGGTAATTCTAGTTTATCACAGAAGACACACATGAGATTAAAAAAAGCAGAGGTGTACAGTGAAATGAATTCTGGGACTCTTGAATAGACAGAGACATTGGTAATGTTGTCAGGAACACCAGGGCCTTTCTACTGTGAGGGGTGAAAATGTCTCTGGTGAAAATGACCTCTTTCTTTGTCAAGTCATTCCCATTTAATCACTAACTAATACAAACACAATGTTGAGACAACAGTAGCAACATGAGCACTGTCAAACTTCTCTCAACTGAAGTGGTTTTCACAAATGTCCTGCGGAGGAAATCTGGAGAATTGGGTCCAGAATTCCTTTTTATACATGAACAACACAGGGAGATTCTCTGCTCAGATGCATTAATAACAACAGCAAATCCTCTGCAGGATTCAGGTGATGAAGCAGGCGGAGGAAGGACTTAGCGTATTAATTCTGCTGTGGAGATCACGTGTTTTAGTGTCCAGCACATCTGTGAAGTATCGGGGGCCAGATGGAGAAAGTCTGCTGAGACTCTGGAGGCTGTCACTTGGACATTCGCGTTCACACATACATCCCCAGAGGTTCTCCAGAGATCAGTGCATGTCTCAGCTCCTTTTAAAATCCACTGTGCTGGAGTACTGGACTGATCCCTTCACTGACACAAACTAGAACGCAGACCCTCATTTGACAAGTCTATGAAAAGTGTATGAAATTCAGGACCAAAACAGTTAAACATTGTGTCAGTGTGTAACAAATGGATGAAAATATAGTGAGAATAAACGATTACCCCTTTACCAGGACCCCCTGCAACCCCTTAAGGACCCTTGGGGATTCCGGGACCACACTTTGAGAACCCCTGCACTAATATATACACA